AGAAGACAACATGGATAAATTTCAGTACAAGAATATTTTAGAACAAGCCATGCTGCCCTATGCCGATCAAAATTTACCTTTACACAGGTACACAGTGTGTGTACACAGTACACAGGACATGCCACCAAATATTGTTACGTACCGGAAAGTTTTATAAATGTGTTAGGAATATTGTGAAATAAAGATAATTTCAATATTAACAAATTTTTTTTTCATCCCTTCTATTCGAAAAGTGTAGCTTTGTTCCTCTGTAAGTGGGAACAAAATAGCTCTTTTCCGATAAAAAGGAAAAATTAAGTCCGCCATTTACTCTATTTATGGTAATAAAGAATAAATAAATAAATAACTTTTTAGCGGGCGTAAAAGAGATTTGAATTTAGAACATATATCATTCATAGAAAGTATGAATTACTGGCTGGTACGTGTTGGACGCACGGCACGGAACCGCGCTAACTTAAATAAAAACAAAAGCGCGCGTATTACTTTTCTGTTCTTGTTACCTCAGTACATATTTTATTTTATTTAGCAAAACTTATGAGTTTTACTACCTCAAGTTATGAAAGTGATAATGCATTAACTCCTGAAACAATAACTATAGAAGCTAACAACGTCGTACAAAACTTATTACCCACGAAATCCCGGGAGAAATATTTAATATTAATTTATATTTATTTTTATATATGACAATTTCATTCTATGGAAAAACAGAAAAGGAGCGAAAACGTTTTCGGAAAATATGTTTTGGCCTATTTTCAAGAATTGGCCAAAACTTGGCAACCTTCTATATACTCAATGCTTAAATCTACAGTAAAAACCAATATAATATTAAAATTGATAGCTACTCAAAATTACTAGCTAAAGCAATCAAAAGTATTTTCTCACCAAAAAGTGGTGACTTTTTTGAATGACGCGCCTGATAAGGAATATCTCGCAACAAAAGTATGTATCTTTTATTTTTCCATTGTAATCTATAAACAGTGTTTTAAAACTTGTACGTATTATTGTACCTACTTGTCTGATTTCCATTCTGTTGTTACAGGTGGCTTTAATATTCGGCATACATGGAGCTTGTCGTAGTAACGAGCTTATAAAAATAACAATCGAAGATATCCAAAAACACTCAGATGAATTACTTTTAGTGAATTTAACTGAAACAAAAACAAAAATTGATCGGTCTTTCGTCATTTGTGGCTAGTACAAACGAATAGTAGAAAAATATCAGAGCCTGCGTCCTTCTGATATAACATTTAATAGATTTTTTATTAGATATCAAAATAGAAAGTGCTTCAAAAAGGTTATGGGAAAAAATAGAAGTATCTTCAATGCCCCTAGAAATCGCTATGTATTTGAAATTACCCGATTACAAGCTATACGCAGGACCTTGTTTCCGCCAACTTCCGCTACACTTTTGGCAGATTCTGGAGCGGACCTTAGTGTTTTAAAGCGGCACGGAGGGTGGAAATCTAGCTCTGTAGCAGAGGCTTACATCGAAGATGCTTTTCAAAATAAGGAAAAAACTAGCACCGGCATTGCAGAAAACATTAAATTAATACCTTAAGACACTTCATCCATGCCATTGTCGCCACGTCCTTCTACATCAAAAGATACTGTACCTTTTCTTGAGCATCACTCAGATTCTAAGATAACAAACACTCAAAATGTAAATGAATCGACAACAATATCGATCTCAAATAAAACAGTAACAATAACTTTTAATAATTGCGCTAGCGTATCCAATATAAATATAAATTTGTAATTATTTTTACTTCATTTCACATGTCTTATTTTAATTAAATATATTCATTGTTACATAACACCGTCTTTTATTTATTTTCTCATAGAAAGGAGATGAAAAGTAGAGTATATGACTCGGGAGCAAATTATTTTTCGCTCGGGCGATGTACTTCGAATCCTTCGCTTCGCTCGTGCTTCAAAGTAGCGCCCTCGCCATAAAAATACTATTTTGCTCCCTTGTCATACAATCTACTATTTTTATTTCTTCTAAGCAAATCGAGTGTCTTTAATTAGCATATTATATATATATATATATATATATACATACAGTGGTGGTCACATAATTAAAGATACCCTAATTAACCACAAAAAACTTACTTATGGTACTAACATTAGCTAAACTTCGTATTTAATCCAGTTTATTTCTTATTAATCCAGACGTTGTATTCTTACAATGTGGGACAAAAAATAGTTGTGTTCTTTAGTAGTTTAGACACTGCTCACTATGGGAACATAACACAAACTTTTTCAACGTACTTTTTTGCTGGCCAGCTAATTAAAGACAGTAAAAGCTGTGTTCTGAATTTAAAAAAACTTAAGAAAAACTACATTCTTTTTTTCTTTATTTTGCCGCGTATTTTCATGAAACATCGATATTACATAAAAAACCTAATTTTTTAATTAAAATTAATACGTTTTAAACCCAGCAATATGGGGAAAAACAAGAGTTGCGATTCGTCTACTAGGAAAATTATTTTCAAAGATTTTCGAAGATCAATGATTGGTCATACAGAAAAATAGCAAATCACTTGCTAAGGACATGGTTATGAATGCTATAAAACATTTCAAGAAGTTCAACACGACCGAAAACGTATCAAGTAAAAGTACTCTGCGGGAAGAGTCTTAAGATGGTGTTTTTGGCAAAAAAAGATCCGTTCAAGGAATCAGAACTGATACGTTCGGAGTTGTTTGGTGCAGGAGGGTCGAAGGGTGTGTCTGCAAGAACAATTAGACGGAGACTATGTGAGGTAAACTTGTAAGGAAGAGTGTCTCGGAAGGTGCCACTTTTGAAAAAGCAAAATGTTAAGGCAATATGCGATGATAAGAGAATGCTATTTGCTAAAAAATATGTACACTGGACTGGACGAGAATGGAAACATGTGCAATTCTCTGATGAAAAAAAAATTAATATGATTAATTCTGACGGAAAACAATATGTTAGACGCGCCCCGAACAAAGAAATGTCCAATCCAAAGTATACCAAGAAAATAGTTACACATGGGGGCGGAAATATCAAAGTTTGGGGCTGTTTCTCAGGACTTGGTGTTGGACCTGTCAGGAGAATAGAAGGCAACATGGATAAATTTCAGTACAAGAATATTTTAGAACAAGCCATGCTGCCATATGCCGAGCAAAATTTACCTCTACACAGCTTTTAGAGAAGTATGGAAGCAAATTCCGGTGGAAGCTTGTAAAAATTGATCGCTTCCATGCCCAAGAGATGTCGTGCTATCATTTCTGCCAAAGGACATGCGACCAAATATTGATACGTACCGGAAAGTTTTATAAATGTGTTAGTAATATTGTGTAATAAAGATAATTTCAATAATAACAATATTTTTTTCTATTTCTTCTAAGCAAATCGAGTGTCTTTAATTAGCTGACCAGCTTTAAATACGTTAAAAAAGTTTGTGTTATGTTCCCATAGTGAGCAGTGTCTAAACTACTAACGAACACAACTATTTTCTGTCCCAAATTGTAGGAATACAACGTCGTGTATGGTTTAATAACAATTTCAACTAATGTTACTACTATAAGTAAGTTTTTTGTGGTTAATTAGGGGGGTCTTTGTTTATGTGACCACCACTGTATCTGATATATACAATTAAAACATGGCATAGATTTTGATTTTTTATCGTTATAAGCTTTTATTTAAAATAATAACGGCGTATATTAATGTACAACACATTAAATATTATATTTTGATAAAGTTTGTTATACATACTCTTTAATTTTGGAAAATATTAATAATAAAAAAAACTGTCAATAAAAATAAAATCTTAAAAAACCGGTATCGCGGGTACAACACTACATAATAAAAGCTGGTATAATTATTTGGAAACTTGACATGTTCATGTGTCATTTTTGTCCCCGGGATTAAAAAGCAGTCTTTAAATTTGACATGTTTTTTTGGGGTGCGAGTGCGGCTCCAACCCAAAATTGGTTTCCGACATGTGTGAATAGCTTCATATAAAATGCTCTCCACTGAAAATCCAATTAAAATATGAGTGCGACACCCGACCAGCTCAGGAACGAGATCTAAGGGCAAAAAATGCAGAAGAGCAAGCGCCGCACAGCGCTACGAAGCGGCTACGAGAGCCGGCGCGCGGCTTCTACGCTCCGGGGCTCTACGGCGCGCTCAAAGACGCCGAGCGCGCGTGTTATATAATAAACATCGAGATGGTCTTTGAAATCTGTTGTATAATTATTGAGCACTTAATATTGGTTTATTCAATGATGTTATTGCTGCTTGAATAGTCGTACTTGATTTGAAAGGTTTTTTGTAATGTAGTTTTTAATAAAAATCTATTGTTAACACTGAATTACATAATTTAACAGAATATTTCATAACCTAAATTTCGGGTAGTCAGCGAAATGGTTGTACACGTGTTCTGGTGCGGGTAGTCAGAGAAAAGGTTGTACACGAGGCCCGATGACGTCAGTTGTTTGTCGCCACCTTTAAAAGGCCGAGCTCCGGCCTTTGCGGATCGATTCTGTGTCGAGCCATCGGACCGAGCGGAGCTCTAAGTAATCATTTTCCTATTGTTGTAAATAACTTTGATTGGAATGATATAACTGTTTAATACTGTAAGTTATAATATAATACTTTGCTTATATATAATGCTTTTCTCATTTACAATAGAAATTACTTCTTTAATCTTATAAATTATAGTAAGAGGCTTAGTTAATTGTAAGTAAAGATTTTACACTTTCTTTTGATAATTTAAATTAAATTATCAATAAATAGTGTACTTTAAAACATTTATAATTTTGAAGGAAGTTATGTTTCTTATAAAATTAAGAAATCTGAGTCTATTGAACAGTTTTATTTCAATTCTATTTGCTTTTTATTACTATATAGAAGTTTCAAAGTGTTTATAAAATTAATAAATAATGCTCTTTCTAACACGCGCTTGACTTAGCTTGTTGACTTAATATTAGCATTATTTGCTTATTTTACAAATTGGATAAATAACAAAAACAAATAAGTTTAAAAAAGTTTATTAATTAACACTATTCAATAGAAAAAAACTAACAAAAAGCTGACTTAATCTTAAAAGTACTTTTACCAGGCAACATTTGGGAAAACATTTTTAGTATAAACAAAAGTAGTAGATATACAAAAGGAATTTGTGATGTAATATGCACAAGTAATAACATGTTGTATTGTCTGCGCTATCCTAATTATACATAAAATTTTAAATATTGCCATATGATGTTTAACCCATAAGATAAACAAAGGTTAACCCATAAAGTTTAGCGATATCAGAACTAATAGGCAACTTTATAATATTGTCCATACATTAAAGTAGACAACTTCTAATTATTTCGCTGTTGCATCACATTTTGCCCCAGTTAGGGCACCAAGTGGCTATAAAAGAATACACTGCAGGTCTCTCGGGCAGGCAATAGCCCAAGCTCTCTAACAAGGAAGGGGTTTTCGTTACAGACTCGTGGAAATCATTAAAATTTATGACTCCATCCAAATCTACATCCATTCTCTTCAGCATGATATCTACTAATTCCTGAAAAAAAAGCAGTTATATCATTGTTACAAAGGTATTATAACAGAGGTCATTGCTAATATACCTAGGTTAATTATGGATGTTTATCCTTTAGAGGAGCTCGATGGCGCAAGTGGTTAGCGCGTTCGGCTGCGCGATCGTTGAAGTTAAGCAACTTTCGCAGTGGACGGTCATTGGCTAGGTGACCAAAAATTTACTATCTCGAGCTCCTCCGTGCTTCGGAAGGTACGTTAATTCGTTGGTCCCGGCTTCCAACTGCAGTCGTTAGCATCCACCAATCTGCACTGGGCTCGCGTGGTGGGTCATGGCCCAAACTCCCTATTCCATCCATAGAGAAGGCCTGTGCCCCAGCAGTGGGGACATTAATAGGATAATGATGATGATAACTTAGAGTCCTGAGGTTTTTTTTCATAAAATAAAAAATAATCTTATACGTATAATGGGTCAGTAGTTATCAGGATCAGAAAAATATAAAAAAGTGCAGGGTTTACTTCTGGATTTTCTTTATGGACACACACGAGTACTTCATTTAAGTAGCTTTATTCAAAAGACTGACGATTTGTACGCGACGTGCCTCTTATGGGCGCCGTCGTCTGTAAATAGAGGTTTTGCCTGCGTCACAAAAAATGGTATACCAATAAAATGTGACCCAACCTGCCTGCTACGATGTTTTATAGTTATAAATACGTCATACACACCTCTAATTTGGCATTACGAAAGTCAGGTAATTGCCCGACTTGCATTCAGCCGGGCACGCTCTCTCGCCGAGGCTAATCTTCGCTACAACGTTTATAGTAAATTATGATATAAGTGCGTTAAGTTGATAATTACAGCCGAGGCGATATTGCATAAGAAGGCAGAGGCTGTAATTATCAAACCCCACGTAAGTCATACGACTTTTTATAACACATTTGAGAGGAAATAAATAAAACTCAGACTTTCTAAAACTAACAAATCTGTAATCACTTGTTAAAGCAGTTATAAAAAATTGAACAATTTGTAAAATTAATTATTACGTTGCCAGTTGGCATCTTTAATGTTGTCAAGTTATTATTATTAGTTACAATGTCACCAGTCGCTCTCTCACTCTGTTGAGTAAAAGTAGGAGAAACGAGACCATAGAGTTCTGCAGTCAGTGGTGGCGGCGGAGGCGGTTGCGGCGGCGGCGACAATGGTGGAATGTACGCGTGTGTGCTCGTATATGGTCGACAGTCAACACTTGACTCCAAATTTATATTCCTTGTAATGTTGGAGCTAATTTCTGGGGCCCCTGTATTGTGACGATATGAGAATTTTATTTTTTGTGTTTTTGACCTGGACAAGAAGAACCCGCCCAAGGTCCTCGACATCATTAGTCGTGATGTTTGCCAGTTCTTGACGTCTACATGCACCATTTATACCAAATATTAATACAACCTGAAAAGAGAACAACAATAACAATAATGATGTTAACAAAAATTTGAATTGCTTACTTAACAAAACTTTAGACTGGTTAAATGATCACAATTTAAAAGTAAATTTTACAAAAACCAAAATAATTACTTTCCATCCACACCAGAAAACTCAATTAAATTTAAATTTTATCTACAACGGTATAAGATTGGATTGTGTGGAAGAGTTCACATTGTTGGGTATAGTGATAGATAGGCACCTCAACTGGAAAGCTCACGTACAAAAAACAAAATCTAAACTGTCTAGCTTTGCTTATGCGCTACGCGAGGTAAAAAAGGCGACTGATAGAGAAACAGCTATAGTTACATACTACGCTTACGCCCATGCTTGGCTGTGTTACGGGGTGGTGCTGTGGGGTAACAGTACGGACGCACATTTGCTGCTTACCATGCAAAAGAAGTTAATCCGTATCATAGCCAACATCGAGCAGACGGAGAGCTGTAGACCATTCTTTCAAGAGTATCAGATACTTCCACTACCGTGTTTGTATATTTTGGAAGTGTGCAAGTTTGTGCGCAAACATAGCGAATTCTACACTAGACGACAAGACATTCCATCTAGATACACATCTCGACACAACAATTAATTAATATTGCCTAATTCTAGGCTAAAACTATCATCATCAAGCACATTTAATTCATCAATTAAAATTTATAACAAATTGCCCAATACAATAATGAATGAAAATAATTACTTGACATTTAAAAATAAATTAAAGGAATTTCTAATTAACAAATGTTATTATAATGTAAATGAATATTTTAATGATAAGATTAGTAATTATTAATGTACATGTACAAATAATTAATTTGATTATTTATTATATTTTATATTTAATTTTGTGAAATTATGAATATTATTATTTATAATTAAATCAGATCCAATCCAATTATAACAATCAAAAATAAACAAATGAAACAATCTCTAACATCCAATTATAATTTTACTATTAGTGTTGTTCTTCTGAGAAGCGTATCCTCTCTTCTAATAACCAATTGCGTGCCCGACGGGGTCCATAATGCTCATATTTATACCACCTACCACCCATTGTACACATTATGGTTGCAATAAATGATTTGAGTTTGAGTTTGAGATAAAATCAGCGTACAAATCACCTATATTGTAAGGAATTACGAAAGTAAAAGAAGTTAGTAACAATAATTTAGTTTTAACTGACCTTTGTTGCCAAATAACGGCAATCCGGAGCTTCTTTTAGGAATTTTGTGACATTGTCAGCCGAAAATACTTTCGACTTTTTACTCACATAGCCATCTGAGCGTCTTTTTAAAAATGCCAGCAACTTTGAGTACGACTTTATATCAATACCATGTTTTGTCTTTACTGTGCTTTTTAACATTGAATAATAGCACCACAATGAGCTTGACTTATATTTTTGCGAAATTTCCATGAAATACGCTGAAAACACTTTCTGAAAATGAATTAGCATTTTTTCTTGTTTTCCATGAAATGAAATTTAGATACGCTTGGAAGTATCTATCCGTCGATTTTTCGGTTAAGAGGCTTAGCGTAGCCTTTTTCTCCACTTCTGAGACTTCTGGCGGAGTCAAATTAATAAATTCATCACTACTTAACGACGTTTAAACGTAAAAACAATACAGCGAAAAGAAAAAGCGCGCGGAATAATTTTAAATTATTCACAAAATAGTGATGCGCATCCATCCGCGCTTTTTTAGGCAAAGGAACAAAAAACAGCCAGTGTTACTAATAAAGTAAATTAATATTTTTGTGAATTTGTTACCGATACATGGTTGTTATTGATTGTCAAAATGAATCAAATTAAATAATTAAATGTTTATATATTATATTTTATCTCCCAAAGGTGATTTTATTAAGAAAATGTTGGCTACCTTTCAGACATAAAATCTCTTTGCTAAGATTTAAAAAAGTATCGTTCGTTTTTATACGGAACATAATAATCCGTGCGTTTTACTTTACATTAACGCACGCGTGTGTAATGTGATAGATTATGATATTGAAATAGGGGTGATGACGGGGTACAGTAAACAAAATTCTATTTAGTCCGTCATGTCAATTAGATGATCAAAAAATAATGCACAAGTTTTTTTTTCTTTGGGCAATCAACCAAAAAATGACAAAGTTATAGTCAAAGTTTGGGAGTAGGGGCTCGTGACGTCACTTTTGAGTGAAAATTGTACTTGTTTAATTGTAAAACGTGACGTCATACGAATTATCAAATCAATATATCTCTGCAATGTTTATATTATGTGAAAAAAGAAAAAATACGTGTCCAATACTTTTTGATTATCTACCTGATAAACGAAGAAAAAAAAATTAGTCATCATCCCTATTAGTCTAATACGCTTTACGAGCAAATGTGTTATAAAATACTTTTCGTTTTTCCAGACAAAAAACCCTATGTGTTTTTAATTAGTATACAAATTAAAAAAACGGAAGCTATTAGAAACAAGAAAAACGCATCATTTTATTCGTAAGTGCAGGTTTAAAGAAATTATTGTAAAAATATTTAGTGATTACTTATTTTGACAGTTGCTGACACCGTTGACACGTGGAGGCTAAAGAGCGAGATGTAATCTGCTTTATGCATGAGAGTGAAAGAGACTACCTGAGTGCGCTCTATTAGCGGCTGTTGCCAAGGGATGTTGGGGCGGGTACTATTACTTGTGCCATTTTAAAATACATTAATGTTGGCGTATAACCTGTCGATATATTATACGTCATTGCCTGACTGGCTCTGAAATTAATTATTAAATATGTACACATTGACTTTTTTCTAGTAAAAATTTCTTAAGATTTATAATACTTAAAATAAGAATTTAATTACTTTTTAAAACTAAACTAATAAGTGTAAGATGCAATTAATATTTATCTCATTCACCCAGTTTTTATGGGTACAACTCAATACGTTCAATGATTTAAATGTTATTTTTATATTACAATACGCTTATATTTACTGAAACTAATTTTAGAGTATTAATAACATTGTAAGGTGGAGCCTTTAACGCAGAAAATCCCGAAGAGGTTTCATTTAATAAGCACAAACTTATAAATTCTAAGGGTATTAATGTGGAATAAGAAAACCGATCTCTTGTTTGACTTATATTACATTGTTAATTAAATCTATTTATATTGGGAGACACCGAGCGTTTACGGATATCAAACACAGGCTAGTTTGCACAGCCATGGCGTGTTTGCAGAGGGTAAGTAGTTTTCAATTAAGGGTTGACGGTTGGATGACTGTGTTTAGATGAAGTTAGCAAATTTATTTCTGAAACTTAGCGCAGCATATCCGTACGACTTTATTAATTATATGTATTTACTCAGACCGCACTCAGAGATGTCAAGTTTAATGTTTAAATATGTGACGCGCTGTCTCCTCTGTAGTAGAGTGGTATGTATATACTTATGTGTGTTTTCAAGATGCCCCTCCGAAGTTTTGAATTCATAACCCGGTAGGGACAGAGATGTACATAAACAGGAGCTTTTATTTATATACGAGTCACGGTTCTTGATATTTCTACAAAAAAACATTTGCCAGCAGCGCCGCCCGCTCATCAAAAGCGTGCCTGACTACCAGTAGCACCAACCATCTACCAGCAGCGCCGCCCGTCCATCAACAGCGTGCCCGACTACCAGTAGCACCAACCATCTACCAGCAGCGCCGCCCGTCCATCAACAGGGCCACTCGTCCATCAACAGCGTGCCCGACTACCAGTAGCACCGCCCATCTATCAGCAGCGCCGCCCGTCCATCAACAGCGTGCCCGACTACCAGTAGCACCAACCATCTACCAGCAGCGCCGCCCGTCCATCAACAGCGTACCCGACTACCAGTAGCACCGCCCATCTACCAGCAGTGCCGACCGCCCATCAACAGCGTGCCCGACCACCACTAGCACCGCCCATTAACCAGCATTTCCACCCATCTACTTGCAGCGCTGTCCGTCAAGCAGCAGTGCCGTCTGCCTATCTGTCATAGCGCCCGCCTGGCGCCTCCAGATCCTCAAGCGTTCAGACGCTAAAGCCTCCGGACGCTTCCACAAAAGATCGCCGTCAACCCACCCACTCTTTACACCTCCATACTACACTTATGTACGCCTCACTCCTCACTTCTTCATCCCTACTCTTTTGTTTTTTTTTTCAATGTAATTTTTTTTCCTTTCTGTATTTTCTTTTATCCCTGACTTTTTTTGTATTTTATATACATTATACGTCCTCTTGACGTAAAACAAAGTTATATCTACACATAAAATTGACACTTTTCTAAAGGAAAAATCATAAATATATCTCGTTTTTATTACGCTCAACTGTCATATAACTTTAGAGTTTGACAGTGATATAATGTAAATGTGGTGCTCATGCTGTGGGGACGGATATGCATATATAACACAGAGATGTCCATAGTACATTGTCACATAATCACATAGATACTTACGTAGTAACTATTTAGTAATCTGTGTAGATACTCTTAAATAAAAAATATGAGCCTAAATTTGCTATTCTACAATAACAAATGCTTTACATATGCTTCATAATGCTTTACATGATTGGTAAACAAATCAGTTGCGTAGAAAAATCAAGAAAAAAGTCACAGCTAATTTTATACGATACAAACCTCAAGTCGTTCTCCTGTCACGCTATTTTTAACGAGACAATTTCTACCCGGTTTAAGACCGGCTCTAGCGACGGATTCGAGGTTGGTACAAACTTAGGTACAAACCATGCTCGTGAACAAGCAGCAGACACCGGCAAGGTTAGAAACCGGGTAGCACCGGTGACATTAACAAATCTCCATATACTGGCCAATATCCAATACTTTACTGGCGACCAGAAGTACAAACGGTTTAAACCGTGCCTAGACCCTTCGAAAAGCCGCCTCGTTAACAAGGGGCTTATTAGCAGTTAACCACTATCTGTGAAAATTTGTACTTTCATCTAACATGTAGCGCCCTCTGTTATTTCTTCAAGTAAATATAGAAAGCAATAGGCTTGGAGAAAGAGCTTTTTCTATTCATACAGTTACGTTGAAGTTGAGTTTTTCACCACCAGAGGTCCATTAGTAAATATTTCTCCATAGGTTGAAATAGATGGAGCTCTATTCCTTTAGATTAGACAATGTAGAAATGAAAATAAATTAAAAACAAGAGCTCAGATTAAGCTTACGAGAACATTTAGATTTAATACTTAGTGGTGTTTATTAAAAGTTACTTATCAGTTAAAATCAAGTACTTACCTACCTACACGAAGTTCAAGAAAGTAGACTTAAAATTATCATACCTTCACAGCTTCTTCAACATCGTCATCTCTAGAAGCTTTGGCAACACTTTTTTTCATGAGCTGATACATAGTTTCTCGTCTAAGTGATCCTTCTCCCAGTAAGTCATAGCACTAAAACCAATATATAATTTTTCTTTAGTAATTAAATCGCTGTATTAAAAAATCAAATGCGAATTGACTGAATACTTTTTCTTGTTGTATGAAATACTTTTTTTAGAAAATTACCAGAAACCAAAGGAAAATCGGGATTGTGGTTGGTACTGAAATAACACTCAAGATTGTTTTCTAAAATGCCACGCACACAATCGAAAAATCCGCTTAGATTGAAATCGCTTCCATTGTTGAAAACTTAGAAGTTTTCTTAATTAATTAATAAATTAACACATACAGCTTTAACATGCACACAACAACAAAAAAATATTGTAAGCTAGGTAACTTCGCGTAAGAAACTCGATAAAATACCTTAAGCACCGACATAAATATACTTGGTCTCATGCCACAGTGGCGCCAAAAAACGGACGTGTTTTTTCCTGAAAACCCTCTTCAAACTGCGAACGAAGCTTTAGAGATGTTTTCCTATAGTAAGAATGATTGCCAAAAGTTCACTGGTTTTTGTATCAGAAATGAAATGCGCCCACTGATATCAATGCTTCGAATCAATGGTTACCGCTTTTTTGTGGTTATTCTATACTCTTCAGTCTTTCAAAATTTAAATTTAGTTAAAAATAATGAAATTCTCGGACATTTTAAGTTGAACTCTCAAACAAAGGATTCCATACTATTGTACTAAGGTGGAGCAAAAATCACATTTCTAGTGTAAACTAAAAAAACGGCCAATGAGAAGCTATACAAAATGTAAATAAAGTCAGTGAATGTAGCAAATGATGTATTATTATAATAACTCTTTAAAAAGGCTAAAATTACATATATCAATTCTTTAAAAAAAGTACTACAATGTAACATTTTTACATTACTTTTGACGTGATAACGTCTTTTAAATCGATGAACACCGGCTACATGCATGAAAAAGAGTGACCTAATTTCACGTTGTCGCGAGTTAGTTCAACGTTCCACAGTGTGTGTAAGGTGAGGTCATTCCTTCGATACGGAAAAAGACACGAAACGAAATGAAAATGTCATTATTTTTTTAATTTTAATTGGCCCGGAATGTTGAAAGTCTCGTGAATTCGGCGCCACGGTGATGATGTGACATGACCGAATGAGACCCTAATGTCATATTATATGAGATGAAAGAGATAGTTATTATGACAATCTATTAATTTAATTTTCAGACGAATTAAAGTCCTCTACACTGATTTCCTTTGACTGCAATATCAGTAACTCTAAGAGGAAACTATCAAAAAGTGCTTAATTTAAAGAAACTGAGCTGATAACCACTGCATAATATAACAGTCTTTAGTATCGTTCAATAAAAATTGTCTAACAACTGGATTAAAATTTTAGAAAAGATCTTACGGTAAAAGCGTATGATATTCTCTCCTCGAGGTCACCGCGTAGGTAAAGTGACAGGGCTTTGGCAAAAGTCGCCATGGTGACGTAAGGTGAAGTGCCACGATCAAGTGCCACCATGACCCGTTCCATCATATAGGCGTCAGTCATTCCCAGACCAGTGTGGAGAACATCCCTGAAGTGAGCTCTGAAATATAACCACTTTATTTGCGTTCTTTAGATCATCGTTTCTCAAACGGGGGGTCGAGTTAGTTTTTAAATGGGGTCGCAGTCTGTTTATAAATAATAAATATAAACTATATATAGGTACAAAAGACTTATTTATTAAAGGAGTGAATTTTAGTGTAGTGTTATAAAACTAAATATTAAGATGTAATAAATAACATGAAAAAATAAACTTATAGCTTATTTTTTTTTTAATAAAATGATTAATCTTGAACATTAAATAAATAATGATAAATAATGAATAGATTGAGTCCTAAGTTCATTTTTTTTTTACACTCACACCAATTAGCCTAGCCCCAAAGTAAGCACTGTAAGGCTTGTGTTATGGGATGCTAGGGTAACGGATATAATACATATACTGTACATATATAAGTATATTTATATAGAAATACATATTAAACATCCATGACTGGAGTACAAATGCTCGTATTCATCACACAAACATCTGCCCCCACCGGGATTCGAACCCGGGACCTCTCGAGTCGGCGACACCATGAAACCCGGCGTACAAACCACTCGACCACGGAGGTCGTCAATTAATTAATTAATGCAATATTTGGTATTGCATCTCACTTAAAAGTATTTCTATACGTGATTCATCTTTGCAAACACTCATGAGTAAATTATTTTTCAGTGTTAACAAACGATTTCTGTATTTAGTTTTCAAAGCCACCATAGGCGGGAATTATTTTTCGCATAAGTAAGAAGGAACAAAGGGTGTCATTATTTTCAAAGCTTCCGTTACTAGGCTTCGGTACACACGTCATCGTGCAAGCCAAAATTTATTTAAAACTTGAGATAATAATTCCAGTTGTAAAGTTTTATTAGAAGATAGTTCAATGAGTTGATTGTGAGTGTTATTTCGTAACTCGGCATTAAACGGATTTGGAACCCATCTTTTCGATAAATCATTGTCATTTGGCAAATATTTTAGTAACAGCATCTTCAATGCACCTAAATGCGTTTTCATGCTCTCCAACAGGCGGTCAATAACTGAATTTTCTATATTCGAATTTTTTGAAAATATATTTAGAATTTGCAGTAAATGCATTAGAATTTCTATTTTCAAGGCGTATAATCCAAATACTAAGCTTTTTAATAGAGACATTTACTTTATCTGTCATAATTAAAATATTTTTGTCACGGCCGGTGTATATTTGGAGACTCTTATTTAAGTCATTCAAATGTGAAAATGTGTCACTCAAGTAAGCCAATAGTAATAAAGATTCTTTGTCTTGTAAAAATTCTAAAAATGAACTATTTTTATCTGTAAAAAAGATTTTTAATTCATCTCGTAATTCAAAAAGCCTTGTAAGAACTTTTTCACGCGACAACCATCTCACTTCAGTATTTTCTTCGCATAGTGTGGAAATTAACAATTTTAACAGCTTGTGATAAAACATTTTGTAAATTATATCATATTTTTTGTGGCAAGTGCATATGCGCATGCGGTATAATTTTACAATATCTTTTAATTTTACTGTCACGATTCTGTTCTTCCCCGTTTTCGTTTTCGCGCCATCAGTACATGCCGCAGTGCATTTATTGCAGTCCAAGCTTTCGTTTTATGTTGCTTCAATAAATGCGTTAAGCAGTCCTTCGCCTGTTACTTGACCAGGAATTGATTAACAAAAAAGCATATTTTCTTTAATAGATTCCTCACATTGCTCCGAGTTCGATATGTCTGTTGATTCGTCAAACTGAATAGCAAAAAAAAAACCCAACTTTTTCAATTATTTGGTTGTGAATATTGACAGCCATTTACGACTCGATATTGTATCATTTGAAAGGGACATAGTTTTTATTTTTTTTAGCTTCTTCCGGACTATACATAATATTAGATCATATCAATGGCAGCAGGTAAAATGAATATTTCCGCAATAGTATGGGGCTTAAATTCCTTCGTGACTCGCATTACTACTAAGGCTACATGAAGTGCTTCAGTCTCATTACGGCTGGATTTTTATAGCATTTTGTTGATTTTTCAAAACAAGTGACTAAAGTTACTGACATCCCTGCCGCAGGGGCAATCTAGGTTGTAAGAGTGGGAATGACCCTTAATTGTGTTGTGTGTAGGCAAGCAGGGGCAAATTTCTAAATTAGACCTGCGGCAGGGTGAGACCACCCTTGGTTCCTAGATTGTCCCTGCCGCTCTGCACGTTGCCACCTGTGTAGCGCGATCGGGGCAATTTCTCAATCAGTTGGTTGGTAACTGTCGCATAGAGCGCACTTATTTTACTGTTTTTTATTTATAAAAATTAAACACTGAGTGTGTGAGATAAGATAGTTGTGGAATGTACTTGTTTCCTTATACTACTTTCCTAAAAATCTAAATAACAATTAAGCTCGGCCTCGCGTCCTTTTGTTTTTATAACTAAAGCAATTAACATGTACGAACCTGTCCTAGAACATGTGCCACGAGATGCATAAGCGGGTGATTTGACAAGTTCGTGCAAGTACACCGCAGGTTAAAACCAGTGAAAAATAGCGCCCACGTATATATTAATATATATTTATAGTGACGGAGTCGCAAGACATTTCACTTAACTTTTTAGCTTTTTCGTGGGTTTCGATATAAAAATGGTTAAGAAACTATGCTTTAGATATACTCATTTAATGCTTAATAGTTTCTCGTACTTCATTCAGAATAAAAATTAAACTAGCGGATCCGACAGACATAACTAAAAATATAAAAAAAAACCTACTGCAGATGCCCACCTATCGGGTAGAGTTGTAAATTTTATATTGCTTCTAAATTGTGTGCGATGGTTGCACATAATGCGTGCTACTGCTACTACAAGTGAAATAAGTGTAATCTCGATGAGCGAATCACAGATGTTTAAAGAAAATGGTTGATATCGGTAAGTTAGTTTTCCAGTTATGGCGTGACCAAAGGAAATAGGGATAAATTTTAAGTAATTATTTTGAATCTCCTACGTAGATAACCGGTGATTATAATTACAACCAACAGCCCATTAACTTGGAAGCTCAAAATGCATGTTTCGTTTTTCGTTTTACGTTGATATCCTACCCCGCTTTAATACCCCAGACAATTTTGATATTCACCTCGAAGTTGTAGCCGGCAGTCTTATCGGGTCTACACAGCAAATCCTACCCTTATCGATAAATAATAAATCATATCGAGAGCTTTATAAATTTCCATTTACCTACCGCATGAAAATTAAAATTTACCGTAAAACAAATTTCACACGCACCTTGATATTAAATCGCTTGCAGCGGGCTTTTCGTCACGTTTCTGTATTTTGAAGAAAATTACCATTATTTCTGCAACAATAAATTATCGTTTTCTATCGTCAAGTATTATCAGAGGTTCATTCAGGGAGTAGTAGACCTAGACCTCGTGTAGTTAAAATTATCCGTTACTGTAATGGACCGGCTCAAGGCATAACTATGGGTATAGAACGTGCTAAACACTGCCACTTTTTCAGAATTTTCTGGAAGATTCTGGTGAAGTTTCCAAAATTTTCTGATATAACAACTTACAGACAGCCGCGCTGGGATGGCGGCCAGTTGTATTCGTTTGCAATGTAAGCGAGTGTTCAAACACGAGCAACCAATCAGGACTGGCCGTAGATCACCTCTACCTGCGAGACCCTAGAAAGAGCACTAAATAAAATAAAGAGGTACATACGTTCTAGTTCATCAAATGTGAAATGGGTTTCTTTCTGTATCTCCATCCACATTGAGCCATGCTTTTTTCGAAATCTTATCTCTTCCATAGGGTCTAATGATGAATCAAGTGACGCAGACATTTTGATTTAATATAATGTTTTATAACAAAATTATTGACAATGTTTATGTTGTTTTATGGTAATTTGAAATTATATTTGAAATGTAAACTCAACTTGACATGACGTCATGGATTTATTATTATATGACAAACAAGCATTTCCATATGTATTCTCTTTAATAGTATCAAATAGAAAGTTATAAAAAGCGATCACGTGGGAATCGTGCTTTGAAAAATTTACGTTCCTTGTTTTCGTTTTAAAAGGCAACAAAAATATAATAGATTATCTGAAAATGTAAGCTATTTCACCTGTTTCACTCCTATACCTTTCTATTAACGTCGACCTCCGTGGCCGAGTGGTTTGTACACCGGGTTTCATGGTGTCGCTACTCGCGAGGTCCCGGGTTCGAATCCCGGTGGGGGCAGATGTTTGTGTGATGAATACAAACATTTGTACTTCAGTCATGGATGTTGATAGTTGATATTTCTCTATAAATGTACTTATTATATTTGCACTGTATGTATCCTATCCGTTACCCTAGCTTCCTATTGATGAGGTTAATATATGCTTTGTCTATTGTTGTTATAATAAAGTAGTGGCTGGTAGGTGTCAAATAAATATGACATGTAAAGCTTGTCTTGTTTGAGTTAATTGGCTTCCAATGACCCCTTCGCGGCGCGTGCGGATGGCCGCGGGAGAGGTTATACGAATTTCAATAAAAATGGTGTATTATAGTTAATGATGTTAATATTCACAGTTTAAACAAATACGGTAATTTCCACATAATATTTGTGTTCTAAAAGGTTATGGGCCGCCCCATATTTTGTATTCTGTGAATATCGGGTTAAATAAATTTAAACAGAAAAAACAGTGAAAATGGCTTCGATTGGAAAATGGAAATAATTTTTGTAACTGGAAATTTAGATTAGAGCTATTAATGGAAGAAAAAGGTCTGGGTGATATAATTCAATGTGGTAGTTTAAAAGAAGACAAGTTGAGAGCACGGACCTGAAAAAAAGACGGACGTAACCTCGTCTTATCTCGAGTGAAGCATGCAAATGGCCGCCCGCTTACAGCGTGTGCGTGATTTCAGGGTTGTCGGGTAAATCATCAATTTACCTACTTTTTAAATCTCCCAAACTAAAACATTGTTAACATTATGTAATCAAATATATATTATAAAAACGGGATATTTACCACGTGTTTTACTCGTTGTGAGCTCCTGATTTTTCAGCAATTTAAACGGTCTATCAAATTATTTTTAGGAACACCGAGATAGAAAAGAAAGCACTTGTTATGTAAAAAGAACTTTATTGTTTACATATAAATGTTAGTGTCTTAATAGTATGTATGAGGTTAATAACATACATTAATATACATAAATCGCGCAGATTAATGCTTAAAATAAAAATATAATAGACTAATATTGCTATTTCTTCTTTCAAATGTAAGTATTTCATTCATAGATTGAGTAGGTATTTAAAGACTGACAGAGTGAGGAAAGGAGATATCATGCCAATCCTATAACGTAGAAAGAGACGCAACATGATGTACCTTTCGTCTAATAATATATTTTTTGCAAGAGCCGCAGCGCCCTGTCAAGTCGTACTGAGATAAAATTTATTATGAAATTCTGTGAAACTAACTCGACACTATTATAGATATTTTTTTTGGAACAGTAGCGATAGGAACCCTAAAAATTTACGAAATCTTATCTTGCCTAGTCACAAATGCAAGAAATACAAATTTCCCTACTTTTAGGGAAAATTTCCCGTAAATAAAGTAGCCACACAGTTGTATTTTTGTTTACCATTTTCATCCTTGTAAATAAAATATAATATAAAAAAAATATCAAGAATCGTCAATACTTAAGCATAGTAGGTGATTCCTTGTGACTTTTCAAATTTACTCGTGTAGTTTTTAAAAGATTTCACCACACAAGACGGCATTTTTTTATAAATATATCGGAGCAATTGAACGTGTGACTGGCGCTGTCACGCGAGTTCAAATGGCAGCGGATTGTCCGACCTGGTGCATTAGTGTGAGTGTAGGTAGTGTACAACACACGATTTTGTCTGACCTACATGTCATTGTCATGCTTCACATGATTTGCCTTTGATATTACGTCCGTCTTTTTTTCAGGTCCGTGCTCAAAAATGGAAGAGTCGGATAAAGTTGTACATCTTTTTCTTGCATTGCCAGATAAGTACCGCAACGTTACAGCAGCTTTACAAGCTATGAACGATGAACTAACTTTGAGCAAAACGAAATCAACATTACTTGATGCGAAAATACGATTGCAAGACAGAGTATATGTAAATCAAGATAAGGCAATATACTGTCGAATATTTAGTCAAAATACTATCAGGGTCAGGTCAGGTACTATCAAAATAAATCTATAAGAGGTCGAGGCGATAAATTTAATAAATGCGGACGTGGGAGAATACAGGTTCGAGGCAGAGGTGAAACCAGTAGAGCGACAACTTCGAGGGATAATGCAGTCGTAGGCGATTACGAATCAAATGATGAAATGGGATGTATGGTAGATGGAGAATTCAGCTTAACTTGTAAGACATCTAACAGATTAATTTCCTTTGTAGTAGATTCTGGTGCATCACAAAATTTTATATCGAATTGTTATAAACAATACATGAGAATTATCGAACTTTTAGAGCATCCCCACGCCTGAGCATCCCATTAAAATAATGCATAGCAAATGGACAACAGTTGATTGCGTCTTGCAGTGGTAATTTACCCATCAGATGCGGAAATGTTGAAATTACTATAGAAGGACTTATTGTGGCTAATTTAGCGTATAATCTGCTGTCTGTAAAAAAGTTACTTGAAAAGCCAAACGAGATTGTATTCAAAAGTGAATATCTAAAAATTAGCTTTATTAATGGTTCTAATGCTCATACAATAATGGGAAGCTTTATATTTTGCAGGGTGAAATTCTGCTATAGCAGAGGATGGAACCGCAGCTATAGAAACAGTAGATGGTATGTTGTGGCATAGACGTTTAGGCCATACAAGCTCAAAAACGTTACAAAGATTACAGCTCCCAGTTAACAATAACATTTGTAATGCTTGTATGAAAGGTTAGGCAACTAGATAACCATTCAAAATCAAAGGTTTTACAACTGATACATAGTGATATAGCGGGCCCATCCAATACTCCTACACTATTAGGTGGGGTTTATTTCCAAAAGGTAATTGATGATTACTCACACTTCTGCGTAGTTTTCTTACTAAAAAGAAAAGCAGAAGCGGCTGAAAATATTATTAGCTATATAAATAGGTATCAAAATGAGTTTGATAAAACAATGTGCGTGAAAACCTAAGAAACAAATTTGATAAAACGGTTAAAAGAATAAGGTGTGATAACGGAGGTGAATACAGTTGTAATAAACTGCTTAAATTTTGTAACGAGAAAGGCATTGTCATGAAATATAGTTAACCTTCTTCACCTGCTAGCAATGGTGTAGCAGAGAGGATGAATAAGAGTTTGTACAATAAAGCAAGGACTATGCTCATCGAAACTATCACCCAAGAATTTGTAGGGAGTAGCTGTGCAGCTTATTAGCTAAACCGTTGCACATCTGTGGCTATAAACTATAAAACTCCATGCGACGTAATGTACGGCAGAAGAGACTTAAACAAACTTCGTACATTTAGTGCAAAAGCTTGGGCATATATCTTACCAAAGTCTGATAATTTTTCAGAAAAATCATGTGAATGCAAAACAAAGGAGAACAGGGTATAATTTATGGAACTCTAAAGACAATAATTGTTTTTGTTTCACGCGATGTAAAATTTGACGAAAATGATATTATATACAGTGATAATAATAAAAACATATGCAAAACTGTGTGGCTCTGAACTGACTATGAAAATAATGAAGAAATTGACCGAGAGGGCAATATGGGTAATATGAATAATGAAAATAACATTATACAGCCAAAAGAAATATATGAGGATAGTGTTGCAGAAAATATAAATGAGACAAGAGAAGTTATGAATGAAAATGTTTCTTTCTATCTTCTATATTTGGCTACTTCTAGTGGACCTGACATTTGTTTTGCAGTGTCGTATCTGAGTAGGTTTTTGGATAAGCCAACTATGTCACTCACGGAAAGCAGCTAAGTGAGTATTGCGTTACCTTAAACATACAAAGTCGAAATCTTTGAGGTATAAATCGGGCATTAATTGTCACTTAGTCGCTTATACTGATGCTGACTGAGCAGGCGACAAAACTGATAGTAAAAGTGTAAGTAGATCTGTTATCTACTATGGTAACAATTTTTTGGCCCGGTTTTCTAAGAAACAAAACGTTGTAGCGTTATCAAATGCCGAAGCTGAGTATACAGGGTGAAATTGAATGTTTTAATGAAACTTCGTGGGAATGTTGGGTTACATATATAGAGTATCTCTGAATTTTTTCGGATTTTTTAAAAAATGATTTAAAATAAAATTTTGTTTTTTTTTTGTTATATTTTAAGTCCTTTCCTCCTTTTGGGTACTAAATAATTATTCTTTTAAAACATGCATACAGAGTAAGTAAAAAACAAGTAATAAGCACTACTAAAAAAGACGTAAAAACAGGAGACGGGCGGCCGGGAGCAATGACCGCTCCCGCCGTTGAATACCTTCCTGCCTACCTATCTAGGTATGCGCGGTGCACAGCGCAGTGAGCGAGCGAAGTCTCAAGTGCGCGTGCGTATCTTTTAAATTTGTGACAAGACAAGATTTGCAAATAATGCCTTGATTAGTTCTTGTTCTGTGCCCTCCATATAAGAATTTGGATATGGTGTGTTGTTATTGCGAGTGTCACGGAATACTCAGCAGAGCCACAAGGCTTTACGAAAGTAGGTTTGGTGATTTATTGGGAAGTTATAGAGGACAAAAATTAATAGGTACATCGGTCTCGTAAGTACTTTTGAATACCTGGTAATAAATTTCATTCTGACCCAAGTATTGAACTGCAATAAGTGTTTCTTTTTGTTTAACTTTTGCCTATTTCCAATCGTGACAAAATTATTATTAACTTTTTAAGTTTTTCTCTGCTTAAGAGTAGATGACATTTGTGCTTATTATTTCAATTTCAATAAAGGCATCTAAGACAATTTTATTGTATTGTGTGGAATCAAACGAGTCAGCTGAGCTCTGTGTACGTAC